CGGGTCACCTCCGGGTTGGCTGCCTAGGGCCGACGCGGTCGGGGCGGCACGCGCACTGGAGACACGCCAGGACGTGTGTGGGCGGTGAGGGAGTGGCACGCATGAGCGGTGGACTGGCCGGTGAAGTGGTACTGGCTAGGGCATGGACGCGACGTTGAGTTGACCCCAACGCGCGCAACGTGGGGGGGGGCAGCGAGGGGACAGGGGCTGGCTGCGGCCAACCCCGGCCGAGCCAGGATGGACCGGGCTAGCCCAGCGCGACAGCGTGGCCAGGCGCATGACATCGGTGGCCCACGAGGTGACCGCGCACGCCGAGGCCGACAGCCGAGACAAGTGTCCGTGCACGATTTTTAAAGCCCGCGTACCCACTAACCAAGCTTGAATCGAGCTCATCCAACTATACAATACCCGAGAGGGTACCTAGGGCTAGCTACCAGGGCTAAGCCACGACACGATCTACTAACAAATTCAAGCAAAATAAATTCCCGAACATGGCCTGGTCAAGCTGTTTTCAGACTTGAAAATCACTCTAAGTCTTGGGCTAATTTTTGTTGCAAGTTCAATCTTCGAGCAACTAGAACTATCAGCTAGCAATAACACCTTGCTAAGACAAACGTTGCATTATCATTTACAAAGTTGCATTAACTTTGTAATTTCTTTTTTAATTGCTGCCTTCTTGTCGGGTGAGAATCGTCGTAGCCGTTGCTTCACAGGCTTGAAGCCTTCATTGATATCAATTCTGTGCTCAGCCAACTCTCTTGGGACACCTGGCATGTCGGCCGGCTTCCAAGCAAAGATATCTTTGTTGTCCCGAAGAAAGTTGGTGAGCTCGAGTTCCTATTTTGCCGAGAGGTGTGCACTGATGGTTGCCGTCTTGGAGGGATCACCGGTGCCTAGGTCGATTTGCTTGACGTCGGCTTCTTTTGGTGGTGCGAGGATGCTCGGCCTCTTAGCCGGGATCTCTAGTTCTTCTGGGTTCATTTCTGTAGCAATAGTGGCTATTTCTTCCCTTCCGCTGGCGGCTTGTGCCTTGGCCGCAATTTGAATTGCCTGAACATCGCAGTCGAAGGCACGCTTCAGATCACTTCAGAGAGAAAGAACACCGTTGGGACCTGGCATCTTAAGCAATAGGTACAGGTAATGTGGTATCGCCATGAACTTTGCTAGTGCTGGACGTCCAAGGATGGCGTGATATGATGATTCGAAGTCCGCAACTTCAAATTTGATAAACTCTGTACGGTAGTTTGAGGGAGTCCCAAAAGTAACTGGTAGAGTGATTTGTCCAAGTGGCATGGCTGCCTTGCCGGGTACTATCCAATAGAAAGGGACACTTGTTGGAGTAATCATCCCGACGAGTTGTAGTCCCATCTTCCTTAGTGTTTCTGAAAAAATGATGTTGAGTCCGGCTCCCCCGTCGATTAGCACTTTTGTGACGGTCATACCGACGATAGTTGGATCTAAAACCAGTGGATAGTGGCCGGCGTTCCCTACACTAGTCCATTGATCTTTCCTTGAAAACTGGATTGGATACTACGACCAATTGAGGTATCTTGGAGTAGCCGGTTCTGCTGCCATGATGGTCCATAGAGCCAGCTTGTCTTGATGCTTGCTTCTAGAACCCGGGATCCCGGAAAAGATCACTGCTACTGTCTCCTTGGATTTTTGGAATCTCTTATCTTCATGGTTGTCTTCATCTTTTTTCTGATTGTCTTCTTTGTTGTCCCCCTTATTATCTTTTCTCGTGTATCGATTAATGAAGGTGTAGCAATCTCCGATGGTCTGATTTCCTTTAGGGTGCCGATGGGTGCTCTGCTTCTAATCTCCTTCGGTTGTTCGACTCGGTTGCTTTGACTGTGGTCTCTTCTACTTTCTCTGTTGTGACTTCCGCTTGGCCCAAGTCTCTCGAAAGCGGACTTTCTTTGATTTTGATCTTCCGTCTGCGTGAGATGTTGACCTGGCGGGTAGCCTCGAGCGGGTCCTTCCGTCGTGTGTTCTTAAGGCCGTTGATCGAAGAATATCCCGGAGCTGTTCTTGTTCTTCATTGGGATGTGAGATTGCTCCGAGTTCTTCTAGTGCTTCTCGGATCCTATTGTAGGGTATTTTTGCTGCGTCTTTCTTCGGCTTCTTGCTCTGATTTTCTTCTATTGTACTCGGCCAGATCTGACTCATATCTGATCCAAGCTTCTTTGCGCTGCCTGGCACGGCGTTGGCGTTCTTGTTTCAATTTGTTTCTTCTTTCTCTGGCTTGTTTCTGGCTCTCGGTTTCACCATCGTGCCACTAGGTAAAGGGTGATATGTTGGATTCGGATTCATCCGATGACCTGATGTCGGGTGCTTCTGGAGGGGCCAACGGTGATCAGGGACGGCGAACCATGAATACTTCTCGTGCGTGAAGTGTTCTGTTATTGACGTCGGCTTCCACGCTGTCAGAGTTGTTGAGAACTTCATTAGAGGCTTCAGGGTCGTAGATTGAGTCTCCTTCTTGGTAGGGTAGAACCATTGTCGTTGTCGTGTCGACTAGCAGGGTACTGTTATCCTCAGGAACAGAGCCTGGCCAGTGGACGATGCAGTCTTGAGATGTTATGGTTAGTACGAGGCCTTCCTGAGCTCCTTTTAGTGGCATTTTTAGCACCGGATCGATAGATCTTTCGAGTTGTGCCTGATAAGATGTTGCCATGTTATGGAGCCCAAACGGAAAAGGACCAGACTTCTTGAAAGAACTCTGAATGTTCTCCGAGTTGAATTCTTGATAGGTTGATGCCGCGTTCCGGAGCCCCGTCGAAAAAGAACTCGGACTATTGTGGAAAGAACTCGGGTAAGACTCCATCTCGGATGCGGAACCTGAGCCTGAGTGGGATGCGGTTGGCCATGAAGTCTGAGTCGGATCAGACATCACGAGCTGCGTGAGTCTTCCGGTGAGTTGATCTATCGTAGTCGTCGAAATAGCGAGGTCTTCATGGCGATCTGAATCTTCGAGGAGACGGTTTTAGAGCTTGCCGTCGTCGTCCGCCTCACAGATCCATTATCCGAAGATGAAAGTTGATCCTGTTGAGAATATCGTGTTGTCGAGGTCCATCGAGCTCTCGAATGCAAATCCACCGAAAGCCCCTACCTGGCGCGCCAGCTATCAATGTTTTACCACCGATAGCCTGCCACGGGGGTACCCGGGACAGTTGTTCGGGCTTCGGCGTATGTAGAACTCGGCGGTTAACGCAAGAGACAGTCGATTTATCCTGGTTCGGGCCCTCGACCGTGATCGAGTAATAGCCCTACGTCCAGTCGGCGTTAGCCTTTTGCGTTGGATTGATTAGTATATGTTCCAATTGTCCTTAGACCTTCTCCTCTGGACTTTTTACTTTCTATCTTACCGATCTAAGGAGCCTTGCCCTCCTTTATATAGTCCAGGAGACAAGAGTCCTAGTCGGTTTACAATGTAGAGTCCTAGTAAGATTACAGGGTAGTACTACTACTAGGATTACATGGGAAGATATCCTAGTTAGACTAGATCTTCTCTCTTCCTTGCGGGGTATCCCGTGGATCCCGCATCGACAACTTCTTATGTCTTCCAAAAATCCGAAACATGGACATAGGAAGATCCAAAGATCATACAAATTTGATGGATTAAAAAAATAGATGACGCTGAATCCATTTGTACAAGAACCAATCCAAAAGATGAAGTAGATATTTAACTAAAATTCTTCAAAGTTGTATATGTGGTTAGCTTTGTTTGAATTATAGAAGCATCAAAAAATTCCTAAAAATATGTGAAAATTCATTAAAATTCATTTTTAACATCTATTTATGAAATTAATTTCCATCATAATTTATGTTCAAAATTTTGAAGTTACTTAAGAAGGTGTGTCTTCCAATTTAATTTATTAATTTGAGTTTAAATTACGATTGCATTTACTTATGCAATGGACATGATTAAATGATACACATGATGCTGGATTAGGTTCATTAACATGCAATACAAAATTTGCATGTTACAAATATTTGTAAATCTTAAATTAAAAATCCTCAAACTTGACATCCTTTTGACTCTCCTTAGTGCTTTAGGACTTCGAAACAAACTGAAATGGGGGGGGGGAATGTGAAACCACCATAATTCATGTTAGCCTACATATCTGGGATAACCGCATCGAAAAGGTCTTAATTCTTTCTGAACACAGCAGACATGCTGTTTGACGTGAACATTCCGATAAAGGAACAGAACTAGTGCTGGGCATGGGACGTTGCACATCACACAGACCATTCGCTGCTCCTAGTCTGGCCCCAATTTGGATTCAGGATTCATGTGAAATTTATACGAAGTTCTAATAAAATTCAAATATAGGATCAAAGGTGCCGCCGAATGCACATCACCCTCACTCATCAGGAAAACCATGTAGTTCACGGATGATTCACAGAGTAATGAAGTTCAGCCACATCAAGTCTAAGTCTCCGCAATATGAACAAAATTGTTCTCTAAACAGCACGGCACAGTCATCATCACAAAACAGCTAAAATAAATATCACCATGACGTCACAGAAACAGCTGATGACCTTGTACGGTGTACAAATAAACTTTGATACAAATGATTCATGGAAGTACTAGGTTCAGCCAGTCAGCACCATTTCTGACCATTCTCCATGTTTTACAACAAAAAAATGTCAGGGAAGATATGGCTAAATACCATGCAGGTTTTGTTATGAACGACGTATAGGAATATGAAGTAAAGAATCAAGCCACAGAGGAGACACACGATTTAACGTGGAAAACCCCTCCGATGTGAAGGGGAAAAACCACGGGCACCAGCCAGCAACAATCTCACTATCTCAAGAGTTTTGGGTTACACGCCTATGGCGGCTTACAAGAGAATCGAGTCTCCGGCGACGGGCCTCCGCTCCGCTCCGTCGGAAGCCCAGCCTATATCCTGGAGTGAATTTGGAACAACTCCAACAGGTTTTTCACATGGTTGTTCAAGCCATGGAACATATAAACAATCATTTGAAGCTCCTCATGGCTTCTCTTCCTTTGCAGCTCCTGTCGGGGCTTCCTCCCCCTTACTCTGCTCCACCATACTTCCTCCCACATCTGCACATTTTCGAAAAATATGGTCAGCTGAGTCATGAAATGAACATAACTTGTAGGGTGTATAGCGGAAAATGGATGGAGACAGCCAGTCAAGGTTGAAATGGTTTTCAAGGGCAAAACAACTTTCTCTTACATACGTAGAAGATTTCTTATCATTGAGTAGACCTCAAGATCATGAAAAGTAGATCACCAAGGAAAGAAGAAAACCACATGACCTGACCAGAAAAAAACTACTTGATAGACCCAGGACTCTTCGCAACATTGTATACAAATCGACATAAGCCGTGACTTATTGCGGCTGCAGCTACACGCAAGCATGAAAGGCAACGATAAATCTAGTTGCTGTCTAGGTCAATTTTCAGAGTGGATTATTCTTGATGGGGCTTGAAAAGGTCGTACAAGTATTTATAGACTCTGATTAGAAGAACTGGCTAAACATACCACTATAACAAATGCCATCTAAAGTGCTAAAACCAAAGGCTGCTCTGCCATATGCTCTTCAGAGCTTCAAGATACAAATGTTCTATTAACAGGATTCCAATAGTTAGATAACCCACACACTAGAATCTCCAGTTCTGCATTGTAGTTCTAATACATGTCCATCTTGAAGCATGAATCCAGGAACAGGTTCCTCCCCAAGACCCCAACTAGTGAATCACTTGCCTACCACTACATCTCTTCCTTTTGAATCCTGAGCCAAGCTCGAGCATATGATTGGGCCACGTCGCCTATATTTTCTTAACCGTCGGATTCCCGAGCCACTATCGATCGAGCCGTTGATCTGGCCGTCCAGCTTGCCCGCACAAAGCCTTCGCGAACCCTGTGCCCTCCCGTCGCCCGCGACACTGCGCAGCGCTAGCTCACCTTGGTTCTAGGGTAATAAAGTAAAAAACATATTCTAGGGTATCAACACTATCTACACTCCTTTGGTTCAGTCATTTGACATTATCTTAATAGCAGCTGCAATGTCAAAATCAGATACATAGCAGTAGAAGAAAGAGTAATCTCCGGATGGCAACAGTTGTTTGCTGTATAAAATCACCATGCATTATTTTGCATCTCTTTTGTTGTACACGTATCTATGCACGATTTCGCTAAGCAGCACATTCCTTTGTTGTTCTGCAAGTACATGAAGTTCTGCAACGATGGAACTGGCCTATTCAGGTGGGGGCACGACAACGCCGTGCCAGTTTTCTAGTTCTATTCTTCATTCTGGACACCATAGATGAAAAGGAGAGAATGGCGCACCTTCATTAGCTTTTTTTTCTGACCGAACTTCATTAGCTTCGTTCATCACTTCGTTTTCATCATTCTGAAGATCAGAAGCTGCAGCTCTGATATCCAGCTTCTGCAGATACAAAACACCATGAAAATCTTTCATGAATCATCACATAATGCTTTTGTCAGATACCTAACGAGTCGATCTTCAAGAAAACAGGGGGGTTGCCCTCCTTCTTCAGCAGCCTCGCCACCACTTGCTATCAGCCTTCTTCTTCAAAGGTAGCGACGTCTTTGACTCCAACTATTTTTTTTATCTCCTGCAAACAGCAAAACCTATATAATCAGAATGTAGTATGTACCCAGAAGGTAGAACCAGTCAACAATTAAACCAACCTCAAGGTTAATAGCGTCAAATAGCTCGAGGTCAAGCTCGTATGGCATGTCATCAGCTCCCATTGCAGAGAAGTGAAAATGGCCCTCAGGCTTCAAATCCAGCATAATATCCTTTGCCTCAGGCAACTCAACTACTATGAACAGCTTGTCAAACCTTGGAGACCACTTAGTGTTAGGATGGGGGCTGCAATGATAAACAACATGAAATTCATGGACATAACCATCGTGTAATTCCTTTTAATTGCTCAAGGACTAAGGCACATCCAATATTGGCTAAAGCATACCTTCTCTTCTTTTCTTCTGCAGGAACCAGAGAAAAGTCAAAAAGTCAGATAACATGTAACACCATTGAAATTAAAAAAAACAGCAATAAACATCACTTACTGTTATGAAATGAGACGAAGCTGACTGGGTTCAGTTCTGGAATCTTGGTTCCAACATGTTTCTCACTTGGAGTTCTTAAAAAAACCATTAACGAATCTGACTTGTTTTGGAACAGTCCTTCCGGAATCGATGAATCAAAACTGATCCACAAGTCTCTCTTGGCAGTTTTAGATATGGTTCTGTGCTCGACATTTAAGATAATCATTCTACAGTTCTCACTGTCTTCACTAGTCTCCTCAATTCTGCAGTCCTCATACATTTTCAAGATCTTACTTCTAGCTTCAGACTGAGATTCCTTCATCACAATAAAAACCTTGGACGGTCTCAATGCTGTAATAATGTGGGACAATATATCTGCTTTATCCTTTTCTTCAACTTCTGACTGGTATCTTTGGTGCAAGTCCAGAGGACTTAACTGCTGCGAGTCTAGAGGAGGACTTTGACTGCTGCGAGTCTAGAAGACTTGACTGCCTTGACTCCTCCCTTACTGCAAGAAATAAGAGTGATTAGTTTCAAAACTAACTGTACCAAGAAAAAGAAAGAAAGAGACCAATTAGGGAGCAACTTATACCATTAATGTTAACCAAAAGGTTAGGAATAAAATTAATAAAACCATTGAGGTAAAGAATAAAATTAATAAAACCATTGAGGTAAAGATTTTAGTTTCTTACTTTTCTTAATCAAACTGTTGAAGGAGCCTTGTTTTTGCGTGAATTTAAACAGCGGCTTCCCACTAAGGTAACTTTTCACCTTTTTCAGAAGGCTTCGGAGGTCCACATTAGTGTCAGGTCCTTCTAACTTCATTACCGTCATCAAGCCATCAACCCAAAACATCTTCTCCCTTTGCTGCCATTCGGGGATCAAACTTGTGTAATACCTCCTCATATACTTTAGCAACTTCAAAAGATCAGCATTCCTATCATCTAGATCAATTCGATGAGCTCCCCAAAGTGTATTGAACACTAATTGACAATCTGAACAAACTTCAAAGGGGTGCAGATGTAAACCCAATCTGATACCTTCCTTGAGAAGTAGAAACATCGCCATTGCTTCTGCTTCGATAGAATCCTCGCATGGATAATCTTTGATAACAATACTCGATAATATCTCACTAGTGCTCGTCCATATAGCGATGCATATCGAAGCTTTACTGTTCTTCTTGTTATTCTTATCCTCAAGAAAAGATGCATCACACTCTCCCTTATATAGCGGGGAGCCATCAAAAGTGACTCCACGCTTATAGAGAGTAGTCCCGAATGAGGCACCTAAGGAGTTATCCCAATCCTCAATTACCAAACATCCTTTTTCACTTAGGAAATCCAAGAAGATGCTCCAATATAACTCTGTCATGTTTATCATCGCCTCCATCAAGTCGATACTTGTCAAATACTTAGCATCTGTTACATGTTTCTTATACTCTTCAAGCAACTTGATGCCCCTATGGTCACTGAGAGAATAAGGTGATAAAAGAACACGTGCAACTAGTGCAGGTCTAATCTTCTCGTAGTATAACTTCTTTAACATTTCCTTCGACTGGTGTTTCTTGCACTCTTTTAAGACATGTTGCAGTAATTCTTTCAAATAGCTTGCACTTAAGTTCTGGAGGTTACCCTCAAGGCATGCAATCTTGTCCACGACATCTTCTATGCCGGATGACATTTCATCCCTAGCACTCTCGCATTCCTCTACTGACAACAGGTTAATCCCTTTTGTCACTGGATCTGAAAATGTGCTTAGCAACCGCTTTGTTGGCTGAGTTCCCTATGAGTAGACGAAGGTAAAGTAAATAAACAACAAGAAACATATCAAATAGGGCTATCTATACGGTAGGTAAAACAGGATTAAGTTTTTTCAATCCCGAATATTGTGTGAAATTTGACCATAAATAAAAAAATACACCTATGAGTTCTGATCGATCTTAAGCCTAAAAGTTCTATGAGTAATTCTAATCGAAAAGCAAATAGCAAATAGATAAATGAAAATCTCATTAAACGACTTCAGTTGCAATTAAGGATTCATATAGGAGTTGTCTATAGAACACTCCGGGTGTTTTGGGAGGACCTTACACCTGAATTTTTAACCAACACAAACTGAGATAAATGTCTTAGATTAGATCCTACATGGGAGTAATGGAACAAAATCAGGTGCTATTAGGGACTACAAACACCCGAATTTTTAATTACACCACCCATACTTGAAAATTACACCCAAATATCTAGTGTAACTCTGATATAAATTGATTGTAACTAAGGTGCAAGTAGAAATTCAAGTGTTGGAGAGTCAAGCAACACACGAATTCTCCTTTATCTCAGATAGTTACCTTCTTGAGCACTAATCTCAAAGTCATCTGAGACAAAAAAAATTCGAGTGCCCAAAGGCCATAAAACATACGAGTGTCTTTTAGCAATTCCGATTCATATATCTATGATATACAGGAAAAACTAAGTTACATGAATGTAACATCAAGATAAAATCCAAAAGTTCCACTACGGGATACTGTGCATTTACCGAGTGTGAGTAACACTCGGCAAATAGTGATACACACTCGACAAACTCTTACCGAGTGTCACACTCGGTAAAGTGGACTCGGCAAACAACGACTCGGTGAAGTTATTTTACCGAGTGTCTAATATCGGTGCACTCGGAACATAGGTTTACCGAGTGCTGCAACGACACTCGGTAAACAATTATGACTTGACGGTCGTTAGCCTCCAAACTGACCGTTAACGGCGAATTTTACCGAGTGTCACCAGCAGCACTCGGTAAATAAATTAGCATTTCGTGATTAAAACAATTCCGCAAATAAATTTTTTGAATAATGTTTACCGAGTGTAGCTCCTAACACTCGGTAAAACAATAACTAATTTCGTGATTAAAACAATTCCGCAAATAAACTTCGGGAAATAATGTTTACCGAGTGTTCACACTCGGTAAAAAGTAGTCAAATATTACCGAGTGGCGATGTGGCACTCGGTAAAAAATGGCACACTCGGCAAAATTCACAGAATCAGAACCAATTTGGTTCTGTTCTCTGTTTTACCGAGTGCTGCACTCGGTAAAACTGACAGAAACTCTGTTTTACCAAGTGCTGCACTCGGTAAAATATGTCCACAGAATTTTTTTTTGTTTGTTTCAGTGCATATCCAGTCACAATAAGCAACAAAATCACAGAAAATTATAATAACATGACAGATAGGCAATATATATCACATATATGTCCACAAATGTCACATCCACTCACAATAACCAACATATGTCGACAAGCACCATGCAAAGTCCACAAACACCATCAACATGTGTCCAAAGTCCACAAAGTTCAACCAAGTCCACAGTTCAACATAGAAACCCATCAAACAAGGTCGGATGGCCTGTCACATGGTCGGAGGCCTGCAGAGAAATGGAGTCAAGTCTAGGTCTTGATCACCCTGCATATCGTTGTTCGATCCAGCTGTAGAAGGTCCCTAGAATGAGATTGCACATGTGAGTTATCTAGATCAAAGCAAATTCTAAGGTCTAAGCTATGGTAGGTCAAACTAAGGTATAAGTCGAAGGTATATGACACGAAAGTGAAGAGTGCATCTAAGTGACTCACAGGAGTGCCGTCGCGCGGAGGTGGAGGCACCAACGGTATCATCGGCGGCGGCGGAGGCGGTGGAGGCTGGCCCATGCTCTGAGAAAAACGGACCATGTACTCGTACCAGTCCTTGTGCGCCTGCTGGAAGGCCTCAAGCTGGGCCTGCACTCGCGCCCTCTCCTGTGCCAACTCGGCCTGGTGCGACAGCTCGAGGGCCTGAAGCTAGCTCTGTGAGGCCTGCTGTGACTCCTGCAGGGCTTCAATCTGGGCCTACAATTATTTATCACATAGTTAGAATGCAAATAAAGAACGAGTAGAAAATGAATGGACAACGAATGCAACAGAACTAACCTGGAGTGCTACCACCTGGGGCTGTGAGCGTGGGCGTATGGCCGGACTCGAACTCGTGCTCCGGGCTCTAATCTGGGCGAGTGTCTGAGTGTTGGCCGTGTCTATGGTGCTGTTGCCCATATAGTACCGCCCTTGTGGCTTACCTGGTCCCAACCTCATGACGATGTCACCCTCGAGGTCAGCCGGTGCTCGGATCAAATTCGACCCATGGATCTCTCTCGCCATCGCCGTGTACTATTTGAGGCGCATGTGCACTTCAAGGTTCTTTGTATGCCTCGGGCGGGTCCTCCGCGTTGTAGACGAGGTCGGGGTCCTTTGCCTTGCCCTTGTGTGCCAAGGCATATGCCTTGAACGAGGCGCGCACTCTGGCCGGGTGGAACCGCGTCTATAGGAAGAAGCACAACAATAAGATATTATGCATTCGAAGTTAGCATAGCAACAACGAAATGAAATCCAGCGTACATATCTGGTTGCATATTCCTTGAGGGTAGTGGGGCCTTGTTTGTGCGAGGAACCTGCGCATCATCGTGACGGCAACGTGAGCGCACTGGCGTGATATTGCTCGTACTCCTCACTCAACCACTTGTCCACAATGGCCTCCCGCCAGATTGTCCATCCCCGCACACCAAGCAGGAGGCACCTGCACGCATCTACGAGCACATGACAAATCATAAATCAATTTCAAAGTGCAATTAATCACATGACGATGTAATCTCATGTTTACCGTCAAGTATTGCTCCTTAGTCAAGGCGGTGTGCTTGCACTGCAAGGCCTGGTGACTCTGTTTCCTCTGCGGGCATGGTAAATTCTTACGCAGAGGAGCTTTGTCTCAGAGAAGAGGTCACGAACTCGGTGAACATGGACTGTTCACCACGTCATCCGCGTCCTCCCTACGTACTCCTCCGCCAAGGTGTAGTAATCCTACAAGCAAAATACGATCGATAATATACAATTAATGTGATGTTATTATCAGCATAGTGCGATGAACACGTACCCACAGCTCTTTCATCACCCGGTCGGCCTTGCTGTTATAACACCTGCAAGCTCGATCAGTCTGATCGCTGGCGGCGTGCCAGTGGGACCACTTCATGGCGGGCTGCACAACACCATCGATCCTCACCATCCGGGGTAGTTTGCCTGCACGAAGACCCAGGATCCCGTTTACTCAGCGAGAGTGACTCCTGGGATCACCATTTCCCAATCTCGCACGAAGTTATTGAGATTGAATATTAGTTTCTGTTATAACTTAAAAACCTGTGAATTAGTGTTAACATGCAAAAATTACTTACTTAGTTCCGGATGGTCGAATCACTGGCCGTCTCTGTATGGGTAAGTCTGGGAGGCGCGACGACCCTCGCAGCAGCCAAAAACCATAGGCACCCCATTTTTCTCTCGCCACCAAGTCGGCATCCTCCTCGCGCTCAGCCCGCTCGGCCTCATCCTCCTCCGTGCCTCCTCCACCGCCTCCGCTATCTCTCCTCCTGGTCTCCTCCTCCTCCTCATCCTCCTCCGTGGCCGCTCTGAACTCGTGTGTCGTGCGTCACCTGTGGAGGAGGTGTCGCTCTCGATGCCCTCGCTGCCGCCGTCCTCCTCCTCCACCACAGGCTCCTCCTCCATCCTGGCTCCACCTCCTCAGGCACGCCTCGTCGTCGTCCTCCTCCTCCTCCCTGGGCACGCCCTCCACCCTCAGTCTGTGCACGCCCTCCTCCTCCACCCTGGCTGGACCCCTCGCCACCAGCCAGTAAGGTCATAACCGACCTAAGCTTCCTGATTCCACCGCCCACCATCAATCACCTGCAACAAAAGGAATAAACTATCAGTACGCATATACAAAAGTAAATGTATCATACATGTATAAAAGAGATGCAAAATAAGTAAATGTATCATACATGTATAAAAGAGATGCAAAATAAGTAAATATATCATACATGTATAAAAGAGATGCAAAATAAGTAAATGTATCATACATGTATAAAATTGCCATAAGTACTACAGATCTTACATGTACTAGAAATAATCATCAAGATCATCGATAGGTGGGCCAAAAATCTCATCATCGCTATTGTCGACATAATTATGATCGTCTCTCAAAGTCTCATCACTAGCGACACTGCCTGAATGGTGTTGCTCAAGTAATAACAAGTCCTTGGCACAGAACCTCCTCTCCATCATCCCCGTCAACAATGATCGTATCATTGTCTACTTCCATTATGAGATCTACATCTAAGACAATCTCAAAACTCCCTTCTAATCCTTCTTCTTGAAAGAACTCTCCGTCATATGTGTTTGCATCGATGTTATAATCATCATCGTTTTGGGACGGGTACTTTACCATGCTTGGCGATACCTTGTACACAACATCATACGCCTTAAGACGGTCTTTGGTTTGTACGGGTATGAGAGATAATAAACTTGCGTGGCTTTTGTTGGCCACAATGTACACGTCGTCTCCTAACAAGACGGATGACTTTAGAACTTCGACTAACCCAAGCTCAGGGGTCTTTATCACTTCTTTGGGATCAAACCAATGGCATTTGAATATAACAGGATGAAGAGGTACACAACCAGGAAACTTGAGTTTGTATATTTCTTCAATTATTCCATAGTAGTCCAACCCATCTGTGCCTGGCGTGAAAACACCGGTATTTGTGGTTCTTCGATTCGGCCGACTCTGCTCGTGCCGAGTTGTGTGAAAGCGATATCCATTGACATCGTACACAGAGAATGACTTGAC